CTTAAAAGTTTTAATTTAATATTTATATCTATAAAAATAAAAGTATTTATATAACTTAAAAAAGATTTAAACTAAATTAAAGATTAAATTAAATTATAGTAAAAAACTAATTAAATAAAAATTAATTAGAAAATTATAATTATAAGTTTTTAATTTTATATTAAGAAGGATAAATAATTTATATAAATAAAATTAATTTTAATTATTTAAAATCTTTCTTTTAAAAAATAAAATATATTTTATTTACTTTAATATTATTAATATTTATTATTATTTATTAAAAAGTACATTTATTAATTATATAATATTTCTATTTTAAATTATTAATATAATCCTTTAATCTTTTAAAATATATTAATTATTTTAAATATTAATAATTCTTTTAAAATAAAGATTTATTTTTATATAATTATAAATTTAATTATTAATAGTTATTTATTTTTCTATTTATAATAAAATTATTAAAATTATAAATTTAAATAATAAAGTATAATTATTTTATTTAATTATTTTTAATTTAATAATATAATAAATTAAATAATTACTTTTAAGAAGTTTTATTTAATAAATATTTACTTAAATAAAATTAAAACTTTTAAAAGAATAATAGCTTTATCTATATTTATTTTAATTAATTTATATAAATTATATAGTAATTTTATATATAATACTTAATAATATTAAAACTAATTTATAATTTATAATAATTTTAATTTTTAATAAATTAATAATATTAACTTAAATAAATTAAATATAATTTAATATATTAATATAAAAGATATTACTTAATAATAAATAATATTATAAATAAATATAAAGTTATTATAAAACGTTTTATATAATAAACTTAATTATATTAATTTTTAAAAATATATTATATTTTATTTTTAATAATTTTAATTATTTATTTTAATTTAATAATAAAATTAAAAATATTAATAATTTATTAATATTTAAGAATTATTATTACTAATAAAAATAAAAATTATAATATATTTTATAATTTATTTAATAAAAATTATATTTTTTATTATAATTAATATTATATCTTTTTTAAATATTAAATTTAAAATATTTATAATTATATAAAAGTATTATATATATTTTTAAATATATATAAAATAAAAGTAAAACTATATATAAAAAATATATAATACCTTTATATAGAGGTAAATACTTAAGGTTAGGCTACCCTCTAATTAGCGGATTTTCTTATACCCCCGGTAGGCAGCTGCTACACAGCTACTACTAACGTTAGTAGCTGCCTAGGTAGCTGCCTGCATGTAGCTCCCCAGCCCCAGGTGTGTCGCAGCTTCAACCAATACTAAGGCGGCTAGCTACTGTACCTACTTATGTCCTCGGATGTATATGGAATAGAAGCGAAACTAGATATGTAGGTATGTTAAGAAACTATAGGAATGGCTTGCATTCATCTGGTCAGCAGCGACGATCGGCTTCCTACGACCTAGCAGAATCTATTTTTAGCTGTGTAGGATTGTCTATCGGTGCAGTTGTACCATAACTTGCAGCACTTACTAATTACTAGCGCTCCGCCGTTGACCACATACTGATCCAACAAAGTCACCAATAATCAGCCCCGAGGTCATCTTCTGCGGTAAGGTGACTTGTTCTTTATCATTCCCTATCCTCACCTCTCTTCCCCAGCGACACCATTACTAATTGTACAACAGTCCGAGGATAATCTGGAACTGTGTTTCTTTACATTCCAATCCCTACGATTGTGACGATGTCCACCTCTCATCTCCGCAAGGCCGACGGGCCGCTCAGCTTGAACCCCACTCCACGGACGCAGCTTGGCAAGGTTTGCATATCAGGCTCCCGCAGTTTTGAGTGTAAAAATGTTAACGACTGGGAAATAGAATGACCCGTTCATTAAGGATGCGTCTCAGATGGCACTTGTGCATAACGTGTTGATTCGCTCATCCAACAGCATTTATCTTCAGGCAACACGCGTTTGGTCAGCAGACGTTCCCAACTTTTTACAAGAGAACGGATATTCATAGAGCAAGAAACAAATAATATAAAGTAAAATATACCCCTAATATACTAATATTAATTTATACTATTAATTTACTATAATTAATATAAGTATATAATTATTAACTATATATCTATTATTTTAAACTTATAATTTTTTTTATTTTCAATTTTTTTTATTATTATTTTAATTTTATAATTAATTACTTTTTTTATTATTATTTTAACTTTATAATTAATTACTATTTTTTTTATTATTTAGAATATTTAAATATTAATTTAAGGATTTTAATCTCCTTTTAAATCTCTTTTTATTATTAATAAGATTTTTAATACTTAAATTAACCTTTAAAAGTTAATTAATAATTTTATAAACCTTTAAAATAAGCTTTTAATTATTAACTTAAATATTAATATTATTATTATTAATAAAACTATTTTTATAAAATATTATTTTAACTATTAATAAGTTAATAACTATATAAACCCTATTATTAATTATTAGTTTTATTAAATAGTTTTTATTAATTTTTTATTATAAAAGTTTATTTAATTTAAAAATTAAAAAGTTTTATTATTTTATTTAAATATTAAGTTAATATATTATATTAAAGTTATAATTATTTTTATTTTATTACCTACTTTATTATTTAAGCTAAAAGTTATTAAAATTATGTTTTTATTTATAATAATCCTTTTATAATTTATAAGATTTCTTTTATTATAATAAATATAACTATTTTATAAGGCTATTTTTTATTATAATAATGTTTATTAATAAATAGATTATAAAAGTAAATTTATTATTAAGAGGTTATAATTTAATTAATAAAATTTATATATATTCTTTTTTAAAAGGTATCTAACTTTTTATAATTAATAATTTAATTTATATAAAATAAATTAAATTAAATATAAATAGAATATATATAACTTATAGGTAAATAATTATTTTATAAAACTTATTCTTTAAGTATATATATTATATAACTTTTATTATAATAAAAGCTTAAAAATTATTTATAAAATTTAAAGTAGAAGCTTATTAAACTATTTTTACTTATTAAACTTTTTAAAAAGTTTATTTTTAGTATATTTTTTAAAGTATAAAGTATAAAAATATTTTTAATTATTTTATTAATAACTTTAATTAAATAAAAATATTATTTATTTTATAATTTAAAAGATTTTTAACTTTTAATATATAGTTTTTATAAAAGGTTATATATAAGTTAAAGTTAAAGATTTAATAAGTTTTATTAATATATTAAATTTAAAAATAATTAATAATTATTATTTAATTTAAAACTTTTTAAAAATATTATTAAGTTATATTATAAATTTTATAATTAATTAAATATTTTATAAACTTAAAAGTTAAATAAAGTTTAATAAATATAAAAATATTTTTAATTTAAAAACTTTAATAAATATTATAGTTTTATTTCTTTTAATATATTAAAAGGTTAAAATTAAATTCTTTTCCTTATTAACTTCCTTTACTATTTTCTTTTTCTTTTCTTATTACTATTAACTTTTTTATTTTTTTAATATATAAAATAATATTTAAATTTATATAAAAATATATAATTAATAATATATTTTAAAAATATATATTTAAAGGTATTAATTAAAGTAATATTATAATTAATTATAAAACTATTAAATTATTAATTTAATAATAATAAAAATACTTTAAATTTATTTTAAAATTATTAAAAGTTTACTTTTTTATTATTAATAATATTTTAAAATAAAGGTAAATTCTTTTTATATAAGTTATATAAATACTTTAAAAGTATAATATTCTTTTATTATTTATTATATAGATATAGTTTAATAAAAGTATTATATAAAGTAATTTTTAGATTTATATAATTTATTTAGTTTTATATTAAAAGATATTTATTATATTATTATTAATATTAGTTATAAAGTAATATTAATATATTTTTTTAAATAAATTTAATATAATTTATATTAATATATAAATTTTTATTTTTTAATATTATTTTATTAATTAGTTTTTAAAGTATATAACCTTAAATTAATATTTAAATATTTTTTAAAATACTTATTTAAACTTTTTAATTTAATTATTAAAAGGTTTTAAATAATATAAAAGAAAGTTATATTATAAATTTATTAGTTTAGTTTAATTATATTAAGCTTTATTAATTTTTAAAATTATAAAACTAATAATTTAAATAGTTAATTTAAAAGATTTATTTATTAATAAACTATTTTATATAATAAATAAAGATTAACTAAAAGTAATTAACTTTAATTATAAAGAAAAGTTATATATAATAGTAGTTAAGTATTTAATTTTATAATAATATTATAAATAAATATAGTTTACTTTAAAGTTTTTTTAATTATTATATAATTAATTTACTTTATAATTTTATTTAATTTAATTTTAAGGTTTTTATAGGTATTATACTTATTATAGAAAAATTATAAATAGTTAGAAGGTTAGTAAAGTATTAAAAGTTAATTATTTATAATAATAATATAAATATTTTAATTATAATAGTTTATTTATTATTACATATTAAAGTAAGTATAATTAAAGATTAATAATATTATTATAATATTAAAAAATTAAATTTTAATTATAAAAGATATATTTATAATATTTAAATAATTAATTATAAAAAAAATAAAGTTTATATTATAAGTTTTAAGTAGTTAATAAAAGAGTATTATTAAATAAGTAGAGAAGGAAATTTAAATTTATAGTTAAAGGTATAAAAAGTATTTAATTAGGGTAATATAAATAGGTTATAAAGTTAAATAGAGCCCTTTAATTAACTAGTAGTACTTATTACCCTATATTAGCTAAATTTAGCCCTAAACTATCCGTTTTTTACCCTATAAATATCCGTTCTCTTTTGCAATACTGCTCAGCGTGGCATATAATGCTCAAGGGCCATCATGAAAGCGAGGAATAAGTGTATTTTCCGGGGCTCGAGAAATCTACGGGCGTCAAGGGAATCATGGACACTGAGATTCACGAACACGGTAAGCAGTCACCTCCAGCTGTGGGTCGCTCGCTTCTCGCACGCGTCCGCCATCTCTCTGGCCTTTCCACAATCCATTGGTGGTATCAAATCTGACAAATTGCCTCGTTGGTGAATTGTTATAGCGGCATTCAGTAACGGTTTGCAAAAGTTGAACGAGTACGTTGAATCACGGCTGGCAGACCCATCTTCGTACTCGGGAACCGAGCTGGTCGGCATTCTGGACTCGTTCGGCGAGGTTCTCGCAACTCACCTAGCGCATGAGCCGCCCAAGATGGCATTACTCAGCCAGTATGGAGATTTCGATACTCGAAAGAAACAGCAGATCACAGCATGAAGTACATGCATGTGACAAACGTGCTGCCAATACTCTGGTTCAACCTGGACAAGGAATTCGAGGCAGGGATGTGGGCTGACTTTCCAGCGATGTCTGGGCCCGTGAAATGGATCATGATCAATGTGTTTGGGTCCTGGCAAAGGAATTGGTGGAGATTCGGGAGCAGTGGTGCAGACGGCATACAGAGAGAGCTTTACTGTCTGTCGGATGAATACTCCAAGGCATGAGGAGTCCAGTCTTACTAAATAGAATTCTTAAGCTAATGTCGCCATGCTATTGGTATTTGCATATTATATCACGCCGTGCGGAGGGCGCCGTGGACCTATGCAACAAGGGCTGGGGCTGAAGCTGTGTCTCTTGTGATCTTGACTTGAAGGAAAATCATTTCAAGACATACTATTGACTATCTTCAACTTCCAGTCCAAAAAGGTTACGCAAATCAGGCCTACGAAGCCACTTCATTATGTACCCCTGTTTTTGCTGCATTCAATGCTGAGCTTGGTTCTGAAGCTTGACGCTGCGAAGGGTGGTAAACTTTTCAGAAAGTCTCTTCCAAGCTTCCTCGACCTCAGGCGGAATGTCAACATGGACAATAGTGTGGTTGCCGTTGGGCCCATATCCACTTTTATCGTCTCTCAATCGCGGATACTCCCCGAGGATCAGATCTAAGAAACGATCCATATCCCACATCAGCTCCGGTGCTATATCAGGTGCTGCGTAGACCAGCTTGTCGTCGCCAACCGGCCGGACAAGCGGGACAAAGACGGGACAGCCAACGAACTTGGGCGGGTTGGCGAGGTCCTCGTAGACCCTCTCGAAACAGGCGACCGTCCGCCGAACCATAGTGGGATCTTGGACCACGACGGCCGAGACGGGAGTGGGCACCCCGCTCGCCTCGAGGAGCTTGCGGGTCTCGCTCGCGTTCGTGTGGCAGGTGACGGAGCGGTCCTCGACCAGAATCCGCGGGGGCGGCCGTTCAGCGGTGAATCCCGGGGCAAAGAAGTGGTTGAAGATGGCTAGCAGGACCTGAGCCTCGGGCAACCCTTGAACTTCGGGAATAATGGCTCGAAACCTGGGGTGGCGGGCGACGGCCTCGTAGATGAAGGTGGTTGAATGTCCGATACCGCCGCAGAGGACGAGGGTCTTTGTGATCCCGGGGCGTTCCTGGATAATTTCAAATACGGTCTCGCAGCTCAAAAGTACTGAACAAACGCACAAGATGATGGTGTCAACTGGCTCGATCTTGCGTAGATCGGGGATATCCTCCTGCGAGATGAACTTTGAGACCGTGTTGATGTCTGCGGAGTGGCTCATGTTGATTGATGGGTTGGCTGGTTGGCTGGCTTTTACTAGTCTTGACGTTAAGTGTTTGCTCTATTCTTGAGGGATTGATGTCCAGTATGATTTCGAAGTTTTAGGCAGACAAAACTTATGGAAATTATGGCACTGCATCCATCAAAAATGCTTGCTTCGGTTTGAAATCGACCATTGAAGCTCTGGATGCCTGCCACCGGATGTCGGATAGCATGACTAAACATGGACTAGACTGGACCAGAATTGTGGAACTCGGCGTCACGGTGCCTGTAATCATAAGATTCCGGTGGATAACGCTAGACCTTAGCAAGACTTCCAGTGGCGTGATGGGTACATGAACAGGATAGGATACCAATTGGCGGATCAAATGCGAGGTCTTTTTGTGTACAGTATCAGTGGATCCGAATTGTTTCTCTATAGGGCAAGTATACCTCAAGATTCCCACCTCCTCCTAATACGCCCCGTCTGCACGAATGGCAGCCGGTCTACAATCGCCTCCGTCTTGTCGTTTTTCGGCGCAGAGTAGTCGATAGTGTACAGGCTCACAGAAACAAACCCATCACTCACAGCCGCCGTCTCACCAGTCATGCTGCAATCCCCATTGATACACTCATTCACACCATCCTGTAAGGGGTCGATATTGCCCCAAGTGAATGTGCCGGGGTTGGCCTCCACTGGCAGGGCGATATTCGTGTTTGCCTCTCCCGTCATCCTCGTCTGGAGGATGGGGACGCTGGACCAGTTGGCGCCAAGCCTGGGGTAGTTGACATTGGCGCCATAGCCGAGCGGCAAGACTGGCTCCCCGGGGGTCGAAGAGTTGACAAAGGCGTCAACAATGTTACCCGAAAGCTTGGCGATATAGGTATACTCGTTGGTCGAGTTGGTGATGTTGCGATAGTCCAGCGCGCTGTTGGACCCGCTGAAGGCGATGGCCGGGATGGAGCGCGAGGTGGCGGCGTATGCGGCTCCAGCTGTGCCTGAGAGCGTCCAGACGAAGGGCCCCAGGTTCGTGCCGTAGTTGGGGCCCGTGACAACAAGGTCGGGCTTGCTGAAATTGGCGAAATTGGGGAGGACGTAGTCCAGCGCAACGAAGGTACAGGCGGCTGGCGTACCGTTGTAGTACCAAATGTGGCTGTCAATGGGATCCGGGCCAACCGAGGGCGCACCGGTGGGTATGATGCCATATTGTGCCGGTGAGGTCAGGTTTGGATAGGTAGTGAAGTCGGAACGGCCGCCTTGTCCACTCTGTTGAACAGCCGGCGCAACGATCCAAACTGATAGGTCGATGAGCATCAGTAACATATTGTAATAGTGGGCGATCCCAGGGCTACTGACCATTGTGCCCCTTGCTCTTGAGGACCTTGTAAAACTCTCGCAAGTTGGCTGAGGCGAAACCATCATCATTGTTCATGAGAATGTTGAGACCCTGAGCGGAGCCGAGCAACATGCTGGCTCCAGCGAGGAGCATTGAAGACCGCATTTTGGCACAACCTGGGCGGCGACTACCTAGAGCACTGAGTCGTACGGATGACGTTCTGAAGCAATAGATTCAACCCGCGTAACAGACGGAGACCACCGACGCCGAGAAGGAATATCCAGTCGAAAACCACGGGAGAAGAATGGTTTCTAGATATACTCATTCAATACTCTTCCCGGAATCCCGCTGTCATATCTTTGGTCACGCGACACACCGGTCCCAGGCGATAGGGTCTGTGGAGCACTCTAATGCAGGAACGGCAATCCGGCAGCACCCTCCTTCCAGAGGCAGTCTAGCTTCATGTTGCCAAGAAGCAGCTTCTCAGCTCTTAGCACCGAGGCTGCGTCGATAAGAGAATTCAGCTGGCTGGAAAACGATGCCGATCAGTTGTATCCCTGGATTGAATTTCCGATGTGCACATGGATGGAAACAGGGAAACGAACTCAAGATAGAATTTGTTAGTGCCGACTACGGTTGCCTCAATCTGTACATAAACCTTGATAGCTGAGAGACGCGGCGCCTCGGTAACACAGCGTCACCAGTAGTGTATCCCCCATGTACACCGCTACCAGGCCCGCAAGCTTCACCCAACCTTCATCGCAGTTTCAATGGCACTCCTCTGGTCATGCTCGTTTGTCCAGCACATGCAGTTCCCCCGATTTGGTCTATACCACGTGTTGAAGCCTTAATTTGCAAGCATTTTAAGCCAATGCGGAGTGGACTCGGAGTGTCAACCAGCGCCAACTACTTGCAGCATTGCAGTAATCTACCTAGGCAGCTCCGAAGAAAACAAACTCACATTGAAGAAGTCTCGATAGCACAATGATCTCCGTCCGTCCTGGTGTTCATTACCACTTGCTGGATCTTACTTTTTTGTAAGCCAGTTTTAAGGAATTGACAATGTACTAGTAAGAGTGGAAAATTATCTACGTAATGAAAGGTAGCCGCTTATGAGCCTGGGACTTTTTCCTTCCATCACCCGCAGTACACAGAGTTCACTGTGTAGATGCTGTGCCTTGCAGAAGAACGAAGTGTCAATCTACAATCCATGGAAGAGGTCAGAGATTTAGTTCTAATCCGAACAAGTCACTCAAACTATAACATTGCCGCAGACCTGCTGTCCAAAATCTTTCGGTTGGCCTTGGTGTGGAGTCCCTCGCCTTATATGAATTGGTTCTGGCGTTAGCCGGGCTCTGGCATTCGTTTCAACCTGGTGGTGTTTTATTTGACGGGATAAGGGAACTTAGTTGCCTGGCATGATCACATGTTGTTCTTCAAGAGTTATTGTATGTGGAGCTCATATCAGAGCTCCCGAGTTCGTGGCCAGCATGACACTTGGCATCTCTAGATGCGCAAAGGGATAGAGTAAAAGCGAGACAGCGTAATACACATGAAAATGATTTTCATTGTGAGCTGATGGTATAATACGGGCTTCCAAGAACTTATCCCTCGATACTCTTGGCGGGCGGTTCCAGGCTCTGCAACATGTGATGAGATCATCAGAAGAGGCTGCAAGCCTCGTCCCAAACACAGCTAGTGCAACGCCACAATCGAGGGTTACCGTCTTGTAAACGCAAGAAAACACGGTCTTTGAGACATTCCGTGTTATACAAACATGATGATGTTTTTTGTTGACATCGCCAAGCAAATCTCCTGAGATTCCCAAGCATCTTGATGATCGGCACGCTCAGATGGACATGTTTGGTACATTTATCACATCACCACGACAACTACTCCAGGTGGAATTGGTTGCCGAGCACTCGATTTCCCAGGCCACATCATGAAGCTGCCATTCCACACAACCACACTCGTTGGCGTCGGAGTATCTGCTGCCATGCGGCTGGCTGCTGATGCCGACCTTGGACCTGCGAGCTGGTGTTTTACTTATCTGTCCGATGTTCTGGTCCCTATATCAGCCTTTCCAGAAACTCCGGCTTGGACGATCTTAACAACTTCCGATCCGTCGCCGCTTACTGGAGACAGTGAAGCTCAAACAATCACCTCGAGACCATTAACGGAATCTCGACTCCAGTCGGAAATACATTCGCTGCCCGAAACGGCCTTGAATTTGACTTCGTCAGATCGTACCAATTCTTCATTGCCATCTACGATTACCACGCCTGGACCTGGGACTTCCCCTACGCTCACCTCTTCACCAACCCCTAGCGTCCCGACGCTGCGGGAGATAATCTTGTTCATTTACCCGTCCGCAGGTCAAAAGCGGCATTTAGAGACGAGGGCAAATGCAGGCTTTTTGAACAATGACGTGGCTGAGAGGCAACAAAACTGCAATAACGCTACTGTGTTCACCTTGGCATCAGGACGTCTCTCAGATGGCGGCTCACCCATTTACTATTTGCCTGGTGACAATTATAAACAGCTTCGAAGCGCTGGACCCCTGCCTGATGGGGCTATATCTACCAATTTCACCATCGAAAAGGGCGTCCTGGAGTTCTCAAACGCTTCACTTCCTGGTGGCGGAGCACGCTTCTGTGAAGATGGTACTACGGGCGATGTATACTTGACGTTTACTTCAAGTCCTCCCAATTGTGAGGCAGTGTATCTCACGAGCTACGGGGGTAAAGCTGCATTTCCAGCGTCTTTGCCAATGACTTGCTAATCACCAATATAGTCGAGCTATGCCAAAATGGAGAAATTGTGGGTGCCGAGTTACCGAGTGCTAGGAGCACCCGGGCGAGCACACGTCGGGTGAGCTCTGGTGTGTCTACGGAGGACGTCTCATCACCTGCACTGTCCTCAGAAGTCCTGCCGACGACGAACACTTCATTTACAAGTATTACCAATTCCATTTCGTCCGATCATGACTCTCGGGACCTTCCGACCATTCCCTCAGTGGGTCCGGTTTCTTCGACAGTGGTATCAACCATCTCTAGAGAGACCCAACACAGCTTGTCCTCGATTATTCCCGCCTCTGCCACACCCAATTCGCAAAGGCCAAATACTAAAAGCAGCACGAGTGACCTGAACCCCACCGAGGCCATGGTCTCAAGCCAGCGGACTGAATCAAGCAGGGCCATGGACGCTGGATCAACAACCAGTTCCGCCAGTCATCCAGGGATAGAAATAAGCTTCTCTTTGTCTCCCACGGCATCAGAAACACAAACAACAGGTCCACAGATTTCCAACCCACAAACATCCAGCCCACAGACGCCAAGCGATCTGAGCTCCTTCACGGACAAGCAACAATCTGGAAGCACAGATATCGGTGCGGAGACGACAGGACCGAGTAATACCTTTTCTGACGAAGTATTGCCTACGGAGTCGACTGCTGCTGAACAGATACCAACTGTTCCCACTAAAACACCTACGACAGCGTGCGAAGAAGGGCTTGAATATGCTGTCTACTTCTTCGGGCCCGGATCGCCAGAATGCGCCGAGCTTGAAAAGACATCGCAGACTGGTGATCCCCTGGACTTGGACCTTACGAAAGTGCTCGAAGGCAGGGTCCCCAGAACTGTTGGAAAGTATCCGGGACTGGATCTGAGTGGGGTCAGAATTGGAGACCAATGCGTTGCGATTGAACTCCGAGGGTCCGTCGTCGTCGATGAGACCGGACAGTACGACCTCGAAACTTTGGGCGACGTGTGCGAGTTAGCCTACGTCTGGTATGTAGATGCTGCATTATCGGGACGCTTCGAACCCAGCAACAGCGCGCTCCGCAAATTCCGTGATTCTCAGCAGAGCGCACTGACTTCTGCCAGCTTTACTGAGGCCGCAGCAACCCGATATAGGCCGATTCGAATTTTGATGGCCAGTCCTGTCCTCTCGATTTGGTTGCAAATATCCGTCAAGTCACCCTCAGGCATTGAATCCTCGTTCGCCACTTGCCCTGAGGGCGAGAACGCGCCAGCCTGGGAACCTTGGCAACAGGAGCAAGCAGGCACTCGCAGTCCCGCCGCCTCGAGCGAGCTCCCTACAGTGCAAGAATCCAGTAGCCTCTCTTCGTCAAGCAGTCCTACTTCTACGCCGACACCGGTGTGTGAAGCCGGTGTTGAATATGCTGTTTACTTCTTCCCCGACGGGTCGGACGAGTGTCAGGAACTTATCAAGACATCTTTCACCCAGGATCCCCTCAATCTGAACCTGGCAAAGATCCTCGACGGCAAGGTTCCACAGGCCACTGGTATAACCCCAAACATCTACGGACTGGAGCTGAATCCTCAGTCAGGAGAGCCGACCACTATTTACGATTATACTACGCCTTCCGATGTCGACATTTCGAGTTCATGTACTGTGGTTTACCATCGTGGGTACCTAGTGTTATCCAATCCGGACAACTCGCACCCACTTTCAATTTATGACGATGTTGACGACCTGATCTATATCTGGGGCGGGGATGCAGCTCTTTCCGGAGGCTTTGATCCCAGTAATACCATAATCCGCAAAGTAATGGGTACCTGGAACAACGAGCAGATATATCACCAATTTGGAGTCGAAGACAGCACCAAACTGAAACGCGACGTGACCAGCTATATTCCGATTCGTCTCTTCTATGCCAACCTGCCCGGAGCTGGTCAATTCCAGCTATTGATGAACGATCCTCCTACGCATCAGTTTATCATCTGTTCTGGGGACCATAATGCGCCAAATTGGCTGCCCTGGGATCAAGAACGGACTTTTGCTTCCACACCAGTATGTACCCCAGGACTTGAATACGCCATCTATACCTATTCAACGACCAGTCCTGAATACGATGAGCTCGACAATGTTGTCCGGTATTCGGCTCTTTTCCTTTTGGATCTCAGAATCTTACTTCAGAATAAAGTCCCACAAGACACCGGGAACACTGAATCTGTTGAATGGTCCAGCAATGACGAAACATCTCCGATCGCCATTTATGGATACTCTGCCGATAGCGGAACATCACTCTCCAATACATGCCTTGTGATCCAGCATCGGGGCTTTGTGAAGTTTCATAGCCCCGGAACGTACACGTTCGAGATCGTAGGGGACCCAGACACCCTAATTTTCGCCTGGCTTGGACCATCGGCGTTCTCGGGCAACTTTGATACCCGCCAGAGTTATCTTGCAAAGTTGTACCAGTCAAATGATGTAGACTGGACGACCTTTGAAGTCGTTGTATCAGATACGGATGAGCTTATTCCCATCCGTGTCTTGTACGCCAATTTGATCGGGCCCGGTGCATTCAAAGTCAGTTTCTCAGGACCCGCGGGCACGCCGCCGCCCTCGCTTGTTCAATGCTCCGGAATCAGAGACACGCCGGATTGGCTGCCATGGGACCAGGAAGAAGTCCCGGAACTGATACCTTACGGTCGAACTTGATATTCGTCCTACTCGAGCAGTCACAGTATATATGCAAGTACACTTGTGTCATTGGAATCATTGGGTTGAGTGCCCTCCAATGCCTTGATTGGTGCCCTTCTTCAAGTTTTTCCAGTTCAAGTTTGGAAACTGTTTAACGTGGTATCGCTTTGTTGGCACGATCGGCGTTCGAATAGATATGATACTAGTTCACAGTAATTGATGTGTTGGTCGCCCTCAACCATCTAATTCACCTTTCGTTATCGTTGCCACTCCCAGTATTGACATAAACATCGGCGCCGTGAGAACCTTGGAATCCAACCGTGACGTGGTTGTGACAGGGAGATTCATCTTATCAGAAGTTTGTCAAGGAAGAGGTGCAGGGGCTAAGTTATTGCACGGGAGGACGAAGCGGAGATCCGACTAGCCCATTGACCAACTGAGGGCATGAGTTGAGAACTAGGCCGCGCCGACAATACCACCATTGTAGATCACTTATTTTTTATGAGCGGTTCAGGCGTATATTTTGTGCCCGCGCCCTCAAAATGCCATGCTTGACCGTGACTGTGAAAAGGCGGCTGAGGCTCGATGCTGAACCCGTGTATAATTACCTAGACTTTCTGTGAGCGCGGCTCTCGGTATATTTTAGAGTTCAACAAGCAATGCGTCGTGATAGTATTTGGAATGGGGATACATAACCTTCATGTACTCTCTGCGGAGAAAATCACATGCCCCCCGCCTGTCTTCACATTCGGTCAAAATGCATCTTCGAAGTCCAGTCAAAACTAGTGTGTGTTCAAAGGTCTCCGCTGAATCTACTTACGGGCCTCCGGTCAAGGTAATAAAGCTTAAAACAGAGGGTTAATCCACGGTAAGGATTCTGGCATTATCCAGTGTAATCATTCTACTAGTTCATAAAGTAAGTCACATTCGGTCTTCTTGGTTCTCATTTTGATGTTCCTTTCAAAACATAACAACTCCAAGCTCCTCTCAGCCATTCGGCCCTCGCACCGCTGCTTGGTATCGAAAAGCCTCCACTCCAGGGTAAACCTCAACTGCGTACCACACCCAGATTGCATTTGACAATGCAGAAGACCTTTACTCTTTCAAAACTCTATGTTGAAAATATTGAACTTGCTTCGCGTGCAACGAGATACTCATCATTTGGGAAGAAGGCAAGTACAGGGCTCAAAGCCTCACCATAATGGTATCGATACCGTTCCTTTTCAAGCGCCGCAGCGCAATCTGGGCAGAGGCCATTCTCTTGATCGAACAAGTTTGGGATCAAGGCAACGCTTCGATATCCATCCTCTTTAGGCTTGAATGACAACCCTGCAATTCCTACAGCAGAAGCCATAAGTCGTCCGCCATAGAAGACAGTCGCGAGGACCGATATGGCAAAGCCGGCCTGGGTGGTAATGCATGCGGCAGCTGTATCCGTCGGGCATGTTCGCGTCAAATACCATGGCCAAGTGCTTGGATGCCGCGGGTCTGACAGATCGCCCGATGCCTGTGATAGGAGAACGCGGACCCAGAAGAATGAAAGAATGCTATCGTATATAATTGATACCGTTCGTGACAACTGTCCAGAAATCCTCAAGACGATGCGGGTGATGAACAGAATCAAAGACAATAGGGCAATTGCAAGCGTGGCTTGAGTGAGTCTGCAACAGAGAAACAATAACGCCTCCATCAGCTTTGTAATCCATACCTATGTAGAATGAGGGAAAACGGCAGACGATGCACTTACTGTTGAGACCAGACAAGCGGCTCAGGCAACTCGTGGCAGTTTCCGGGCAAATCGCAGTGAATTCGCTCGCTTGGGCTGGAATTCCAGCCCTCAATGCCGCCTTTGTACCATAGCTTTTGTCGATGATTCGCGACGAAAGCAGTCAAGGAAATACCAAATGCTGTCATCGATATGGAGAAATCAAGCCCATGGCTTACAGAATCGATCTTGGCTCCCATGTTCGGATGATTGGCTCTTGAGGGATGAATGCGAGATTGCCAGCTCACCCGAATTTTAAGGCTCTCAGTTCAAGTTGTTAGCGGAATATATGGTCTTTCTATTGGAGCATGCTGATACCTGCCCAGATCTTGGCCGAGGGCCTCAGCTGATGGACACCACTGGTGGAGAGAATAATCAAAACTTGCTCAGCAGGGTCTTCGTGTGACCCCTGCATGTTGTGGAGGGCCCAAGGACAAAACTTGCTCATGCTGGCAGGACGAGGCGCATGCATGCAGTGGCGCGATGGATGAATGACAATTCAAGTAGGTAACATCAACTAACTTGCTCCCAGTCCCAGATTTCATGAAATGTGTAAATTATCTCTGATTGCGTTTGACATTGACAATGATCTTCGATGTGAGTGCCGAGAGAATCGAAAACAAGAAATGCTGTAGGATATTCTAGAACCATGGTTTGCACAAAACCTGTTCGTCCAGAGCTCCTCAAAATGTTTAACAGCTGGCAATGGTTGATCACCAGCCGAAACCTTCCGTGTACAACGCACCAGTATCCGCTACACCACCCAGAACGCGCTTCTTTGCAGCCGCCGCGGTATTGCGAAGGTCCATCTTCATGGTTTCGGAGCCACAGCCTCGAACTACGGTGACAGATAATGCAAATTACTCCGGGTATCAAAAGGCTGCCATGTATGTCCTCGGACGTATATGGAATAGAAGCGAAACCACAAACCACACACACATAAAGATGGCATCTCACCAAGTGACCAGCTATGTGTGTATACTCCTCAAGTTCCATGGACGCCCAGATATGATGGCTTAATTCCTTGACCTATAAGGACATGAATTTGGCGCACCATCATTGAATATTTCCCAATAGACTTGGAGCAATGCTCAATCCAGGAAAACAGCCTGCGATACCGCTACCCCCAGCTACGAAGATGATTTCCCCATATGACCGTGGCAGATGGCAGATCGACTTTTGAACAGTTGTGTGGTCCGTAAAACTGCACCGGAACTGATCACCGATTTATTCGTGCATTCACCGCAGCCATGCGACATTATTCAAGAGCTAGGCATTAGCGAGAACCTCAGACCTCTCTGTGCCCCTGTTAGGGGCCGAGATCCGGGGTACAGAGACGATCAACCCAACTTGACACTATCGATTCGCTTCCAGGCACAAGATGTTGCGTTGCCACGGGCTTGGGAAATGGTCAACTTGTGTGACTTTACAATGACACACGACTGTCGCCGGTGAATCGAAAATGATAATTCGCTCCAAGGATCTCTATGTAATATCTCATCCTCATCCTCACGAGTCACCGCTGAGCTTCCTCCCAACTTTTGAACATCTGATGGTATGTTTAGCGACGCAATGCAGTATCACAGTTGCCTTTCCGGTATAGCGTGGCTCGCAAGACCGCCTCTACGAGCATATTTTGCTACCGCGAAGTGACAATGTCCGAGGCTTTTGTGTCCAGTCTCCATGATGAGCTGGGGGAGGGGAACGCGTAAAGGGTCGTGAGCAAGTTTCCGGCTTTCCTATTCGCTTCCGAGCAGAAAGAGGCGCCACCGGGAGGAGTTCGGGTGGCTGGGCCGGCTGCGACGGCCGTACGAATCAGCGTGAAGGACCGTCACTGTGCCTGAGGAGGCCCAGCCTAGGAATGCGATACACGAAGTTTGATAAACACGTGTAAGCATGACACGTTGCAGCGATGAGAAATCCCCAGAGGCCCGACCGTGGGATCCCGGAGCAGTGGGGCGCTCGGGGCTTACCATAACTCGCTCAGGTTCCGATCTACGCCTATGTCATTTAGCGCCAGAACGCTGCTGCTGCTGCCACTGCTAACACGACTGTGGTGGAGGGAATTATAACGCCACTTTGTGTCAGTATCAAGGATGGCAATTTACACGCAGCCAGGCTCTCTTGGATGAAAGCAGATGTCCGAGGCTTTCGCAGAGAAAGTAGAGGTACCACCGTACACCGTTACCTATGTAGAGAAACCTGTTGTCACTATTGTAAAAAGAAAACGATCTTCAGCCACAGAGCTGCACACTCAGCTCAAATCGTTTGAAATGAGGAAGAAAAGCACCAAGGCCAACATCATGTTCGTTGGTATAAATAGACGTGTCGATAGAAGGGGGAACTAACAGGCGTCAGTTCACAGTGTAATATCAATACCTAGGCAGTCCGGGAGTCATTGATCGCAATACACGCCACTCATCTCATGGAACGTCCCAGGAACGTCAAACTGGTCAACCAGCAGTTGTAGTGGTCTACAAACGAAGCTCGTGGGAAAATGTTGAGGGTTACGGCAATTCTATACGTTCGGCTGTCTCCGCACCGCCTTCGACCAATCTGGCCCCACTCAGTATGCTCGGTTCGACCTCAGTGGTTGTGTACCGGTACACGGATTGAGGTATTGAACGCATATTTCGTTGATGGCAAGGGGATACCAAACGATTGCTTACACTGCTGACACTGGCAATGGACTACGGCAAGCCCTGGCAAATAACGCTCTCTTAAACATGCTCAAGGCTGGTCCTAATTCCCTCCCATCGCCGAAGCTTAGTACTACCTAGTTCGGATCACAACTTAGGCACATGGTGTTTTCAGCGCCTGTAGGCCAGACGAGTCTATGGGAGGGAACGATCTCCACATAGGACACTGATATAGTGATACATGCCAGTTATGAATTGGCATCTCATCCGGCATCCGCTTACTCGCACGGCCCGCACCAGGATCTAGGTAACTTCTTACAGTCCAAATATTTCCGTGTGCACTAACTTTCCTCCGAGAGCATGGGACAGGACAGTATGTTTTAAAGCAGTTTGAAACCTAGAAACTGATCTACGATGACTTTGCTTGACATCTCTCCTCTGTATGCAACGTATTCGTCCAGAGCTCCGCAAAGTGGAATGCAAGTACGATAGTCTTCCAAGAGTACCTGAGTAGACAACGACAGCGTGAAGTTCACAACCTTTCAAGAAGCTCGTTCTGTCTAGAAAACATTATAACAACCTACCAAGGAATTATCAGGAATTGTTTCCAGCGATGGCAATGGGAACATCGAGCATGGCGATGTCAGCCACAACAGCAACTGACAGTGCAGCAGCTGCCACGACAAGCGCCATGCACATGTCTGGTATGGACATGGGAATTGGTGGTGGGGGCGATTGTCAGATATCTGTGAGTGCCTCCGTTTTACTCATGGCGGCTGCCACAGCAGATCGGAACGAAAACTAATCACCCCACAACGGATAACAGATGCTCTGGAATTGGTACACCGTCGACGCCTGCTTCCTATCCAGCACGTGGCACATCACATCTCGAGGAATGTTCGCAGGTTCATGCATCCGTGTGATACTTCTTGTCATGGCGCTGGAATTCCTTCGCCGACTAGGCAAAGAGTATGACCGTCTTCTCGTACGAAATCACCAGGCAGCAAGTGTCGGTCAATCAGCCGCGGGGGCCTCCATCGCATCCGACAGAAGCCTGAAAAATCGCAATGCGCAGGTCTCGGCTACTCGTGGCATCAGCGACGGTGACACCGGTGGTTTTCGTCCCTCGATGTTCGAGCAGGCGGTACGAGCACTTCTACATATGGTTCAATTCGCTGTAGCTTACATTACAATGCTGTAAGCGGCCTGCCCCTCCTTGAACCTCATGTTACATCATGTATCCAGTAGTACGTGACGGCTGATCCCGGCTTCGAATAGGCTTGCTATGTACTACAACGGATACATCATCATTTGCATATTCATCGGCGCTTTCTTGGGAGCGTTCGTCTTCCAATGGGAAGTTCTCGGGGTGTAGGTATCCACAAGTCGTCACTTACCATTCGGTCAAAGACTTACAACTGGTTCCTAGGGGTTCTTCTAAGACCAGTGCTGCGAATGAGGCGACAGTCTGCTGTGGTTAGAGTCAACTTGTGAAGGAAGGTGACAAGTTCCACGCTTCATGCGTGCTGTGTTATGAACGTACTGCTGGCTACCATGATTACTCAACTTATATCCTCGGCAAGGAACTGAAAGAAGTATGGAATGGGGAAATCGTACGAAACCAAATGGTTGATTGTTGCAAAGAACTGTTACAAAATACCCTATGTACCCCTTCCCTTTATGTATTCTTAGGGAAATGGTTGCGTTTTTAATGCTCATGCATATCAAATGTATGTGGCGCCTTCATACAGCGGTAAACGCTCAAGGCCCAGCGTCTGAAGGAATTCTTAAGGGAAAAGTCTTGTCTTGTTAGTTCAACGTTGTCTAGTGAGCCTCACTTCTGGGTCATTGAAATTAGCAGCCACTCTTTAGGTAATATAATTTAGGGAACACTTATATTAGAAAGCCGATCGAGCAATACTTATTAAGAAAGTGATTTCGTTTTTAATCCCTATATATATAAAATATATATAGCGCCTTTATATAATAGTAAATATTTAAGACCTAGTATTTAAAGAAATATAATATTAATAATAATAGAAAGAAAATATAATATATAGGTATATAGTTAAGCTTTATATTATATAAATAAAGTTAAAAGATATTACTTTTAATAGTATTATATTAGAATTATTAATATAAATAGTTTAAAGGTTAATCTATTATAATATTAAAGTTAAAGTTAATAAAGTAGTTATATAATAAGATTAAAATAATCTTAAAATAACCTTTATAAAAAAGAATCCTATAATATAAAACTTAATAAGTTAACTCTTCTCTATTAATATATTTAATAGCTACTTAAATTTACCCTTATTAAATAAGTTAGTATAGTCTTTATTCTAAATATATAATTAATAAAATAATAATATTATAATAATAAACTTATTTAAAAAAATTTTATATAAATTTTATAAAAATTTAAAACTTTTTAAAAAGTTAAATAAAGTTTATTTACTATATATTAAATAAATACTATATAAGGAAAGTAAAAGTTTAAGTATTTAAGAATTAAATCTTTCTCTTTTAAATATACTACTTTATTATTAAGGATTTATTTATTTTTATATAATATGTAAGGAATATAGTAGAAGAGGGAGCTTTATAAAGAAAGTTAGTAACTCTATTATATATAAATAAGTTTAAAAGTATATATTAAGTAATTATTAACTTTATACTTAAGGTATAAGCTAATAGTTAGTTTAAAAGTTAAGAAAATAATAAATAAATAAATAGTTAAATAAAAAATATAATATAGCTAAAGCCCTTATTAAGAAAACCTGAGTATCTGCACAGCGTCATTACGAAAGTCTATTATCCTAAATCCGCCACGAATTACTATGTAATACCTGAGTACCCTATCTGCTGTTGCCGGTAGTTTCATGAAGATCGCATTGAGATGCGACCCAGCCAGATAAAAGCCAGATAAACCGTGGTCTGATAAGCAACATGTTAATAATCGAAGAAGCTGAACTAAGAAGACGGGACTAGAGTAGAGTGGTCCGGCCAGTGACGGTCTGGTAGCCTGAGCAAGTTTCATGCCCGCTTCTCCCGTCCCGAAAGCTTCGCATGGGGCCTCGGAGAACCATGTTTTTAGTGATCCAGATAACAGCCAGTATATAAGTAGACTGGACTTCTTTCGAATTTCACTGGCAGCGCCTGGGACTGATCCAAAAAATGGCATGCACTGTGACCATAGTTTGCCCTTGATACCAAACATACTTGGAGTTTGCCGACAACATAAGCCATACTCGAGAATACCCCATTTTCTTTTACAGCATGGATAGCAGCGAATGCGACGCCAGTGTGGCCAACCTACCTGTATCGAACCCACTATGTGTGAAAGCAGCTAAATGCTGCACCGCTTTTTACACCGCCGAGAATGCCTCGCAGGCCGCCACGCCATTTGCCGGCCAATTTGAGTATGGGCACTGGGTTACCTATTATTGGGTCATAATTGTTGGTCTCATGGCTATTCTGCATGCCTTCTGGACCATTAGCGACAGGCGTGGACAGCCACTATCACCATCCCGATCCAGGGCAAGCACCAACTTGTGGGACAAATCAGTTTCTGCCTTTCGCTCAGTTTCATATCGCCGTTTGACCAGGGGCAACCGCTACCTATGTAGCAGCGTGCCTGGAGCAGGAATGTCGGCATTCATCCTGGTAACTTGCACATTCGTCATCATCCTTGTCTTCGCAGAACGATCCTATTATCGCCCCCAATTCGGCTATGGATCGCCGCCGATTGCCATTCGATCTGGGCTTATGGCTTTTGCTTGTGTTCCAATCGGAGTCGCTCTTGCAGGCAAGGCCAACATTGTCACGATGCTCACAGGCATTAGCCACGAGAGGCTTAACGTCGTCCACCAGTGGGTCTCGTGGATCAGCTTTGGCCTGAGCCTGGTACATACTATACCATTCTTCATCGCCAGTGTTCGGGACCCTGGTAACGGTGGCATGCAAAGAGTGAAGTCGGAGTTTTACCGAAATGGACCAACTATGGGTCTATCAGAGGTGAAATTGAATCAACTGGTCTATACTCACTGCCTTTGAACTTTAACTAACAATCGCTATAGTTCTCCGGCACTCCCGCTCTGGCTGTGTTATTTGGCCTATGCTTCCTTTCCCTTCCGCAAATCAGGAGACGATTTTACGAATCTTTCTATGTTATGCATATACTTCTCGCAATCTCTTACCTAGGGCTTCTGTTCTGGCACGCCGGTGATGAGCTGGACTCGTGGGCTTACCTCTGGGCCACCCTGGCCGTTTGGCTAGCCTCGTGGTTCGCGCGAGCCTTCTGGTATCACCGTTGTACCAGCATCCGCTCAACAAATTGGTTCCAGACATGCCCTGCTACTTTGAACCTTATTGATGGCTCACTGATACGCATAGAGGTGGAAAGGCCGGTCAGCTTCGGTTTCGCACCCGGGCAGCATTGTTTTCTCCGCTTCAGCTCCGCCGGACCGCTCGAAAGTCATCCTTTCACCATCGCTTCTGCACCCAATGATGCCGCCACGCAGTTTTTCAACGACTCAACATCCTCCGATGGATCTGACATAGAAAAGGGTCAGGCAAATTCGGTTGTGAACTCGATCAGAAATCACTCTGGGACCCCGGGCTTGCTGTTCATCGTCAAGGTGCGAGAGGGTTTTACCCGAAAATTGGCATCACATTGTGATGCCCTAGGCGAAGGAGGCGCATGCGACACCGCAGTGGCACTGGACGGCCCCTATGGCGGATTGCCGCACCCAAGCATCGAAAAGCGTTATGACTCTCTACTTCTCGTGGCTGGAGGGAGCGGCATCTCTGCTTGCTTGTCATGGCTCTCGCACGTGGCATCCCTCACAGATGATACAACAAAAACCCGGCTCAGCGCCGTATCTCTGATTTGGGCGATCAGAAATGTGGGCAGCATCAACTGGGTGAGCAAAGAGCTGTGCCGAGCACACAATTCCAGCAACAGCCGGCTACACGTCGATATACGTGTCTACGTAACAGGATCGAATACTCAGCCTCCAGGCCTTCCCCGGCCAAGTGACGAGCAGGAGAGTAGAGCTGACACGGGAGGAATCAAAGGAAACAACACATTCGGCAAATATGAGACCAGTGCCGGAACTCGAATAAGTACCATGGTCAATGCCGTGGTACGCGGCCGGCCTGATCTCAAAGAGGCTGTGACCGAGGCTGCGGTAGGCGCGAGAGAAAGACTGTTCGTTTTCGGCAGTGGTCCCTTCGGAATGAACTGCGACCTATCAAATGCATGTGCATCGGCGCAACGGTATGTACTGACCGGGAAACTGCGGGAAATTGGTATGCACATTGAAACTTTTGACTGGTAGGAAAGGAAGTGTTTACATGTAGTCCATTAACTGGTTGTAATGCATTCTATCTCTGTGCTCATGTGACTCGACTTCCGCCCTATATATATAAGGAGATCTCTGCGCAGCATAGATATAGACAGTGGTGATGGGAACACTGAGAAGATGCAGTTACTTAGGAATGTTTTCAACTTGATCGAGTCACTCTCTCACTATCGCGTATCCGTCCAAGCTACTTCACAATCGTGCTAAAAAAAATCGTCTGGTTCGTCCAACCCCCGGGCCTCCTTGCTGATTCACTATCAGGCACCAGGTTCCAATTTTCGTACATACCAAGGTACCCCTACCACGAAGTTATTACAGCGAACCCCAGCCATGACCGTCTTATGAGACTGGACCTACATTTTGAATTCATGCTAGTAGGGATGCGCTAGAACAACGATGATCGATGCAACAAGTGGACTGCCCCCAACGTCTTGTCTAGTGACTACAATCTCCGGTATCCGGCCCGGCTGCAATAATTCTGGAATAGCTGGCTGGCTTGCCAGCTCAACGAGGCACCGTACAGAAGAACAGGCACTACCTGCCATCTTCCTATTCATTTCACCCCATGCTTAAATATCTGCCTCAGCCTCAGCCTCAGCGAGCACCGCCTTCAGCCTGGTCTCGTCCCTGGGCACGCACAGCACCTCGTACGAGTTCGGGGCCATGATGAGGTCCCGCGGGTTCTTGAACCCGCTCGCCGGGTCGACGTCGGCGCGCTTCACCCCCGGTGGCTGCTCGAGCCTGAAGCTGGCCAGCAGCCTCATGAAGATGAGGTACACCTCCCTGGCGGCGAGCAGGTGGCCCGCGCACATCCTGTACCCCAGCCCAAAGGTGAAGAGCGGCGCGTCCGGCTTCTCCAGCCAACGCTCCGGCCGGAACACCTCGGGGTCCTCCCATAGTTCTGGGTCTGGTGTGATCAAGCATGGGTTAGTATCTGACTGTGTTTGATGTCTCGGCTGCAGATGGAACTGGCCAGTGCAAAAGGATACCCAGGCGGGCGAGGGTGATACACTTACCGTAGTTGCACGCCCACGCATTCATGTAGACCGTCGTGCCCTTGGGGATGCGCACACCCTCATACTCAACATCACGGATGCTTTCTCGCGGGAGGTTGAGCGGGACAACAGTAAAGTACCGCAGCGCCTCGCGCGAGAGGGCATTGATATACGCACACTTTTGCTCATCAGCCGCGTCGGGGAGCGGGTCGACGTCGCTGTCGTCGCCGCCCTTCTCGCGCGCCTTGAGGCCCTGGAACTCCCTGATGGCCGCGAACGCCCTGTCCTGGACCTCGGGGTGCTGCGCGAAGTAGCCCACGCTCCACTGCACGGTCGTGCTGACGGTCTCGAAGCCGCCGCCCAGCATGCTGAGGCTGATGGACGTCAGCTCCGTCTCGTTGAGGGCGGCCTCCTTGTACGTGATGACGTTGGCCTGGATGCACGGCTTGTTGGTGCCCTTCTCGACCTTGGCCTTGAGGTCCGAGTTGAAGCGGTGGAGGTAGGCGTCGCGGCGGTCGCGCATCTCGCGGGCCAGGGCGCTCGCCGTGTTGATGGGGTTGAGCCGCATCAGGGGGATGTAGTCCTGCAGGTTGCCCGTGGTGCTGCGGAAGCGGTTGAGCTCCTCCTCGACGGCGACGATCTCGCGGAACATGGGGTCCTCGACCGTCGGGATGCGGACACCCCAGTTGATGGTCACCGCCAGGCTCAGGGACAGTCGCTGGATGAATGGCAGCGGGTCGATTGGCTTCTTGCCTGCTTCGCCGTACACGAGAAGGTCGCGCACGAAGGTTCGGGACTCGACGTCGAGGTAGGGCACGTAGCTTGCGATGGCGGGCCGGTTGACGGCGACGGCGACGCCCTTCTTGCGGCGCTTCAAAGAGTCATCGTATGGTGAGGTGCCGATGGTCAGACCAGCCGTGCTGGAGGCCACCTAGGGTATGTTCAGCCGTGCCTGGATCAGATATCACGCTTCCCAGGCGATTTGTGGACATGGCAGCCATGGGTTCAACTTCGTGTGCATAAGAACCAACCAACTCACCTTATGAAACGTGTAAGTCACAGGCCTCGAACTCAGCGCCTGACTCTGGCCCACCCAGAGATGCTTCGTGGCCTTGGCACTGTTCACGACCACGACGGGCACATTGCCCATCTGCACCTGGTACACATCGCCATACCGCTTCGACCACTCCTTATACTGCGCCGCGGCATTGGACCGGACGGCCCATAAGTTCCCGATGAGCGGCAGCCCGGGCGGGCCGGACATGCCCGGAACACGGGCCTGATAGCGGACGACCTCATTTACGACCACATATGAGATGAAGGTGAGGAGGAGTGCGGCGAGGACAGTCTGGATTGGGTTCGTGGCCAGGTGATCCCGGAGAGCCGGGAGGAGCTCAAGGAGGAACATGGTCGTCCGTTTGTTCGCCTCTTACTTGGCTGGTCTCGGCGTGGTTTGTCTTCGATATCTCAGCTCCAGCCTTGATCACTGCCCGGGCGAAGGACCGTGGTTTATATTCAAACAGTTGCCCTGCTAGAGTTGAAATCTTGGGCACATTCTAGAACACGTCCTCACCCACGACGTCAGCAATAACAAAACCTTAGTTATGTCAAGCGAAACCTTCCGAGTCGTCGACTCCGCAGATCATCCGGGCCGGCCCAGGTGCCCCGCGCGCCTCTCGGCCTTGAGCTCGCCTCCAACTCGCTCTTATACCGCACGACAGGCCCATGTGAACTAGCATCCAAAACGGTTACTCCGCCGCTGTACCCCAGAGTCGGGTATGTGTGCACAGCAGAAGCTCGGTGCGGGGGGAGGGCATGGAGACCTACTTCAGACCACGCAGAACAGGGGCATAAGTGCCGGCCGCCCAAACAAGGATCAAGTGATGGTCAGCCGAGGACGCTAATAACCTTGGAATCTGGCAGTGGGTCCTGTGGTTTCGTGAGAGAAAAGTTGCATCACCGCCTTAGGTAATAACATTGCCCTTCAGTGGTTGTAAGTGTGCTGAAATGTCGATCCGTAACCGCTACCTTATCCACCTGGGTGGGCTTAAAATGTCTGGTATGCTCTTAAATGGAAATTATGACAACCGGATATAGAACTTCCTAGTTCTCATAGACTAGCCCCGTGTTAAGTGCACTCCAGCCGTTACAATACTAAGAACGGTGCCTCCCTCGACCAGGAGGGATATAGTTAACTAATATTTATCCCTATAGCTTGTACGACATTTTAATATAATATTTAAATATTTAAGTAAATATTTAATTATTAACTTACTTTTTTATATATTTAAATATTATATAAACGTATAATATATTTAAATGTAATAGGGCTAGAGGGGTTTTAAAGGGGTTCTAAGAGAGTACTTTTTAAGGTTAGTAGTTAAGGTTAGTAGTTAAGGTTAGTAGTTAAGGTTAGTAGTTAAGGTTAGTAGTTAAGGTTAGTAGTTAAGGTTAATAATTAGGGTTAGAGTTAGTAGTTAGCGTTAAGGTTAGTAGTTAGGGTCTAGGGATATATTTAAATTTTTTAAGGTTTATATTTAAATTTAGAAAAAGGTAGTGCGATATTTAAATATAATATTAAAATGTCGCACAAGCTATAAGGATAAATGTTACTTAATTGCAGTACTCCTCGACCAGACATGCTTGTAATGGGCGTGGCCTAGAAAAAGTGGGGCCTTAGAGGCCTAACACCCCTTAAGGAATCTAGCTTAAAAGGCCTAGATTTCTTAACTCTTACTTACTTCCTACTTTTCTCTCTTTTTATTAAACTTAACTTAATTATAAACTAACTTAATAGTTTACTTAATTATATTCTATTATATAAAGTTTAATTTCCTTTTAAAACCCTATAATTTTATAATAAAGAAACTAAAAAAAATAAATTAAAAATATTAAATTTATAAATCTTTTAAATTAATAAACTAAATAAATTAAAATCTAACTTTATTAATATAAAGTATACCTTTTAATTAAATTATAACTAATAATAACTTTAATTAAATAATTTAAAATATTTTTAACTAAAAATTATAAATAACCTTATATATTAAGCTAATAAAAATATAGCTATAATAACTATTAATATATTATAAGAATCTATAAAGAATTTAAAAGCCTCCCTTTTTTTAAAATAAAAATTAACTATTACTACTTTAAACACTTTAAAGACTATTATACCTCCCTTAAAAAACATTTAAATAAAGTATAACTTAAAAAAATTAAAGATCTTATCCCCTATTATTTATTTAATAGCACCTTTAAATTTATTTTAAAAAGTACTATTTTAACTCTTTTAAAATAATAAACTTTATAAATATACTAATTTTTAAACTTTTAGTTTTAAAACTTAAAATAGATAGATTAATAGACTATATAGGTAATAAATCTAAAATATAATATAATATTTATTAATACTTTAAAAATATATAAAAGTTTAAAATTAAAGTTTTTAAAAATAAAGAAATTAATAAAAACTTTAACTTTAATAAACTTATCTCCTATATAAATAAGATATTCTCTATTATTATATATAGAGAAAAATAAATAAACTTTATTTAATATTAATAAAAAAGATTAGTATTTTAATAAGTTTCTAATAAATTTTAAGAGTACTTTAATAAAAACTAAAAGTATATATAAAATAATAAATTCTAACTAATTTAATTATAATAAAGTATATTAAATTACCTTAAAAGTAAGCTAATTACTATATTACTTTTATAAACTTTAAAAATATATATAAAAATATAAAAATAGTATAATACTTTAAATAAATATAAAAGTTTTACTCCTAATTAATTATTATTTAAAGAGGTTTATATACTTAATTAATATAACTTTTATATTATAAAACTTATTTTTAACTTTTACTATAAAGAATATAAAGTTAAACCTATTTAACTTAAAAGGTAATATAAATATATAAATAAACTATTTTATAAAAATAAAAATTAAAAGAATAAAGGAGGAAACTACCCTTAAAAGTTAATAATATTAATTTAAACTAATAAATATTAATAAGTAAAGTAGATATTTAAAAAAGAGTAAGAAACTTACTTTTAAAATAAGCTATATAACTATTATAGAACCTTAGGGTACTTTTAAAAAGGATATTTATATACCCTACCCTTAAATTTAGTTTAATTAAAAGGAGTTAGCTATTTAAAATTAACTTAGTTTAAATAATTTAGTTTAAATTATTTAATAAATAAGAGAATAAATTTAACTTAAATAATTTAAGAAATAAATAGCTTTAAAGGAAAGATAAATCTTAAAATAAAAGAAAGAAATATATAAATATTTAACTCTATAAATAATAAAATTAAAATCTATATTTATTTATATAATTATTAATAATATAAATTAAAAATTACTTTTATAAATAAAGATTATAAATACTTTACTATAATAAATAAAAATATAATAAAGTATATTAATATATTTATATAGTTAATTAAGTTATAGAAAATTAAGAGGATAACCCTTTAAATTACTAATATAACTATATAGAGAATTATATATTTTTAAGTGGAGATTAAAGGCTATAAGGAACCTATATATACCTATATAATACTTAAATTAAAGTTTTCTTTAATATTAAAAAGCTTTAACTAGTTATAAATAAGGTATATTTTATACTATATAAATAAAGAATTTAGTATAGGATTATAAATACTTAAATTCTTTATATTAACCTTTATAGAATAATATAAAAGATAAAGGAACTTAAAGATATTATATTAATAGTTAGATCTACTTTTATATTATATTTTTAATAAATTAGGAAAACCTATAAAAAATTATAATAGAACTTATAGTTTTTATAATATTTATAATGAATATAAATAAAGCTTTAAAAGGTAAGAAATTTAAAATAAAAGTAGAATTAAAGGAGAAAATTCTATTAGAATTTTATAATTTTTATTACTATTTATAAAAAAAAATAAACTAAACCTTTATAAACTTAAAGTAAACTATAAAATTTAACTTAAAAGGATATTAAAGAATAAAGTTTCTATTTTTTTAACTTACTTTATAAAATATTATAAAAGGAATTACTTATACTTAAAAAATACTAAAAGACCTATTTAATAAAGGCTTTATATAAATAAGTAGTAATAAAGTTAGAATATTAATAATATTTATATAAAAATTAAATAAAGGCCTTTAATTTTATTATAATTATTAAACTTTAAATATTATTATATAAATAGATTAATACCTATTTTTATTTATTTTAGAAACCTTATAGAACTTAATAAAAACTAAATAGTTTACTAAAATAAATATAATATAAGTATTTTATAAAATTTAAATAATATTTACTTATAAATAAAAACAACCTTTTAAATTTATTATATACTTTTAAATAAATAGTTATATCTTTTAAACTATATAAAATATTAATTATATTTTAAAGATATATTAACTCTATATTTTATAAGCTTTTAAATAAATATTACTTTATTTATATAAATAATATCTAATTTATATAAATAGAACCTAAGAGTATTATATAGAAAAAGTATAGAAGGTATTAAAGAGAATAATAATAAATAAACTTTATTTTAACTTTAAAAAGTAAGTTTATATAGAAAAAATTAAATATTTAAAGTTTATTATTATAATAAGAGTTAGAATTATATTAAATTTTAATAAAATTAAAGTAATTTATAAATAAAAGTATTAATATTTTAAAAGAATATAAAAGCTTCTTTAAATTTATAAACTTTTATTAAATATTTATTAAGAATTACTCTATAAAGATTAAATTATTAATAATACTTATTAATAAAAGGTCCTTTTAAATAATTAAAGGAGTATTAAAAATATTTTAATAATTAAAGAATATAATTATTTAAGTATTAATTTTAATATAATAGAATTTAAATTATAAAATATTTTAAAAGTAAATTATAATAAATAAAAACTAAATAAAGTATTATTCTATAAAGTAAATAATAAGTTATAACTTATTATATTTTACTTTTAAAACTTATAATAGTTAAATATAATTATTTAATTATTAATAAAAATATTAATTATTATAAAATACTTATAATAATAAAAGTAAAGCTTAAAAGTATAAATTATTTTATTATTTTTAAAACTATAAAAACTTTAAATAATTTATAATTAAATAATACTTTTAAAAAATAAACCTAATATATAAAGCTATTTAATAAATATTTATTTAATTTAATTTATTAGCTAAAAGAAATAATAATTCTTAATACTTTCTTTTAAAAGGAATAAAACTATCTTATTTTAATAAATAAAAAATAAGGAATATATAAATAATTCTAAAAGTAATACTAAAATAATAATATTTTAAATTAATTAAAATAAAAATAAAAAAGAATATATAAATAATAAAGAAACTTACTATATTTAATAATTTAAAACTTTAATACTTTTAACTAAAAGCTATATTTTAAAATTATAATTAGTAAATAATCTATTATACTATTAAGTATAAAAATAGAAAGTTTAATTTAATTTTAAA